CAGCAGCAGCTCCAACAGCAGCAGCAACAAAATGGGCAGCAGCTGCATCAGCGGCAGCAAATCAGGGTGTCTTCTCTTGAGGCGATCTCATCAGAGCATGGCGGCTGGCGGCTTCAGCTGTACGTACACTCCACCCGCCCGCTGCCCTTAGATACCGTACTAGTTGCTCACCACATGGAGCAACGGCAGCAGCAGCAGCAGCAGCAGCAGCAGGAAACTGCATGTGCAGGTGCTCCCATCGCCGTGTCAGCGCCCGCAGGCAACCCAGTATATTCAAAGCAGCAGCAGCGGCAACTGCAGCAGCAAGCGCAGCAGCAGCAGCACCATAAGCGTGGCGGTTTCTTCCGTTATTACTTCACGCTAGCAGGACAGCCAGATGCAACAGAAGCAACAGCACAACCAGTTGATTCCGTGCAGGCCTTGGCGGATGCCGTTTCTCAGCATATCCCAGGACAGTTCTTGTTTGGAGGAGGGCCAGCAGCTCTTCTCTCAATGCTGCTGCTGCATCACGCCCATGAACTCCCTCCAGAGGTGGCAAGAGCAGCAGCAGCAGCTGCTGCTGCTGCAGGGGGCTTGCCACCCCTTTTGGCAACAGCAGCTGCTCGTCGCCACAGACACAGCCGCACGCGCCTGAGGCCCCTGTGCAGGCGCAGCGGCAGCTGCAGGGGGTCCTCTGTGGGTCGAGCGTTACCTGAAGCTGTCTTAGCCAGTGATCTTGCTGCTGCTGCTGCAGCAGCAGCACTAGCAGCAGTTGATGATGGGGATGGAAGTTCTGAGAACCCGCAGCGGCTGCATGCAGCGCTCTGTCTGCACTTTGGGGCTGAAGGGATGCCCCCACTGGAGGTCGCGCAGGTGTCCGTCGGACAGCCCACCGCCCAGGCGCAGCAGGGACAGCAACAGCAGCAGCAGCAGCAGCACATGCAGCAGCGGCAAGGGCAGGACGCTCAGATAGACAACGGAAGGCAGTACCTGGAGAAGACTGAGCAAATGCGGTTGGCTGGGCCGCCGCTGCACTGTGAACTCTACAGCGCCGCCCTTCTGGAGCAGCAGCAAACGCAGCAGCGGCAGCAGCAGCAGCAGCAGCAGCAGTCTCTCGAGGAAGGACCCTTCTTGAAGGGCCTTCTGGATGCCTTAAGTGAATCTTTTAGGTCATTTGCCGATGCTGGGGAGGCAGCGGCCGCAGCAGCAGCAGAAGCTAACCCGCTGCTGCTGCTAGGAGCTGCCGGCTGCTGTGCCTCTGCGGTAGTCGCCTGGGCCATGAGCCGCAGCGCTCGAGACAGCAGCAGCAAATGCATCGGGTCCTGCTGCGATGGTAAGCGTCTGCTGCTAGTTGCCGCTGCTGCTGCTGCCGCGGCTTGCCTAGTAAAGCGGGCTAGAGGGCAGGGTTGGTATTGCTGTTCTTGTGTGTGCATGCTGCCGTTGTTGGCGCTCCTGCTGCTGCTGCTGCTCCTGCAGGGGTGTATCAGGGGGCCATTACTCACGGCAGAAGGGAACCGTCAGCGGCTTCTTCAGCACGTCAGGACGCAGCAGCAGCAGCAGCAAGCGGCCTAGCTGCTGCTCACCGCGTTGCAGCTGCCGTTACGTCAGCACAGCAGCTGTGGCACCCGAAGCCCTCGCAGCAGCAGCAGAAGGCGCGCAAACCCCGGAGAAGGGGAGCAGCAGCAGCAGCTGCTGCTGCAGCGGCTGCGGCGGCCGGAGGCAGGGATATTGTTCCCAGTCAAGTAGTGTACGACAGCGTGTGGCTCCCAGCAGAGAGTGGCTGGTAACCCCGTAGCCACAGCAGCAGCCGCAGCAGCCGCCGCTGCTGCTGGAGGGCTGCAGTTGCTGGCTGTGGAGGGATGACCTGAGCAAGCCCTTCATGCTGCACGTAGCTGCTTTGCAGATGTACGAGCGGCAGCAGCACCAACAAGTAGGAGCAGCAGCTCCTACGTTTTGCATCTTGCTGGCTTCACCCTCTGCGAAACGTACGTACTCCCGACAAAGGCCGCACGTTTGTTCAGCGGAGCTGTTAAGACGGCGCTGAGGTTTATGGTGACTGCCTTGGGGCGTGGGCGGCACGCGGCGCCTTCGCGGGTGGCAATGCCCATCAGCTGAGCAGCTGGCCAGGGTCACCTGCGCCGCTGGTGGGGCCTTTTCAGCGAAAACGCCGTGAAAGGGCCAACAAATAACTCTTTAACATTATAAGGTTTAGTTGGTTTACAGATTTCCCTTCCCAGCGACGCAGTTGAGCCGCATGTTTGCCCGCAGGCGTTGCAGTAGCTACGCTCTTCGGATGGCTGGGCCACCCTGGCGGCCCCCAGCCGCCTCTGGTCGCGAGTTGCTCTTAGTTTCCATTTTTGTCGCGTTTAGTCTAGTTTGTCGTACTGTAATAAAGTTTTGTGTCATTGTTTTGAGTTCTACTGACGGAAAACGATGAAGAATGGACACAGGTGGTTCCCCTTTGGCCGCCCGCGGACGGCGGCCGGTGACCCGCCGGACCCCGCTGGGGCGCCTGAAAAGCCAACGGCGGACCCCTGTCTTCTATCGATGTCTTCTGTTGCACCTAAAAAAGCCTCTAAGCACAAAAACAATCATCCCGTGGGTCGCCCATCGTCCCCTGCCTCAGCCACGCAGCAGCCAGGAAGCAGTCCGCAGCAGCCGCAGGATGAGCGGAAGGCAGGCCACCCCCTGCCGTCCTCTCCGCCTCTGTCTATCAACTCAACAGGCCCCAACACACCACAAACAGCAGAAGAGGTGGGCCCCCAGGCGTTGTCGGGGCCCCCAAAGGCCCTCGGGCCCCCCCTGCGAATACTGGAAGATTTCCCAGCTCTTCCAGCGCAGGCGGACCTCTTTGTGGCTGCAGAGAGGAACTTGGATGCTCCTCTTGGCAGAAACTGCAGAGTGCCTGCGGCTGTCAGCAGCAGCAGCAGCAGCAGCAACTGTGCTGAGTGGGCAAGCGCCCGCCGCTGTGGGGAGATCGGCGCAGTGCAGACTCTAAGCCCCTCAACAGCAGCCCTCGTTTTCTTTTGTCCCTCTACTCCTCCTGACGTTGCTGCTGAAGAGACGAAAGAAGAACCAGGGGCTGCCCCCACTGCATGCGGCACAGCCACTTCCATCCGCACCAGCAGCAGCGGCAGCAGGCCAGCTTCAGCAGCAGCAGCGCCAGAAGGCGGAGTCTGGAGGGCCCTTGTGCAGGTGAATGGAGACGTTGAGAGGGCAGAGGCCTCAGTCGCCTTGTTCGGGTTTGCTGAGGCCCGCGCTGCAGCAGAGCTTGCTGCTGAGCGGCTGTTGCTGCAGGCAGCTGAGAGGCGCAGAGCCACCGGAGAGGTCGGGACCTTGAAGCAGCAAAAGGAAAGACAGGCCCGTGATGTGCTGCTGGTGCGTCGCAGCAGTAACTGCCGCCGCTGCTGCTGCTTGTTTTTCTCGCGGCTTCGAGAAAGACGGCTGCAGTCCCAGCCCGCTGCAGAAACGATTGTGTTCATGTTGGTCGCTGCTGCTTCTGCTGTTGTTATTGTTGCCGCTGCTGCTGCCGCAAACGTAAAGTAGCGGAAGCTAGCTAATGCCTTTGTTTCTGTTGCTGCTGCAGCGTCTCTGCGAGCTGTTGCCGCTAGACTGCCTTCCTGCTGCAGCAGCGCTGCGGGAGGGCTGCCTCCGCTTGCTGCAGTGGCTGCTGATGAGGGCCCTGCTGTCCCTGCTAGACCTCGTCGATGTGTCTTACCGACAGCAGCAGCAGCAGCAGCAGCAGAGCAGCGGCAAGTTGCCGGCCAGCGACCAGGCACTGTTCGTCTCGCTGCTGAGCCACCACCTGTCCACGGTGAAGCGCGCGCGGGGGCCAGAGGCACTGTTTGGATACCTTCAGCTGCTGCGGCCTCCTGCTGCAGGTCTTGCTGCGGGGGAGCTGCAGGAGCCGCAGGAGCCGCAGCAAGGCACTAGAGCTCTTGCCAGTCTCTCGGGTCTCAGAGACGGCGCCGACTACATCTACACGAACAAAGACGGGCCCTACCTCTTGGACTTGCTGCTTTATGGGCTGCGCAGCGGCGCCACCGGGAAGCAGCACCAGGAGGAGCAGCAGCAGCAGCACCAGCTGTTGAAGTGGTGGGATTCAGACGAGACTCCAGCAAAAGCGGCAGATGAAGTGGACGACCCCTGGAGCCACAACGCTTGCGGGGACCTTCCTTGTGGCTCTCTGGGGCCCCCTGCTGCTTACGAGGGGCCCCCGTCAGCAGCAATTGAGCTGCTGACTGGACACTCCCCAGTGAGGTGCAACAGCGGCAGCAGCCTCTGCTGCGGCGACCGGACAGAGTTCATCGACTGCAGCGCCGTCGGCGACTAGTAGCCGCGCAGCAGCAGCTGTGCATGCTGTTTGCCGCAAGCTCCTGCTGTGCTTTGTGTCTTCTGTCCTCGCTGCTGCTGCTTTCGACCATTTGGCTGCACTGCCGGCGGATAGCAGCAGCAGCAGCAACTTCTGCTGCCGCAAAGGCTGGCGCTGCTGCACCTTCTGGGGACTGTTTTCTAGGGATGGATGCTAGGTGTCCGAGTCGCGCTAGAATTGGCTAGCTGGGCAGCCAGCTTAAAGCTCGCTGGTCCATAGCTAGATCGAAAGATGACTAGCTAACCAGCAAGAGTGGCCAGGCCAGCAGCGATCTCGCTAGCCAGCTAGCTAGCCAGTTCGACAGCGAGCAAGCCGCACATCAGGCGGAGCGATGAAACGCTCCGGGTCCAAAGCAACGCTGCGTGCGTTGTTCCTGCGTCGCTAGCCAGTCAAGCGGCTTGCTGCGCCACTGTTGTACACAGCTAGCAGGCTCACTAGTTGGCTCGGTAGTCTGCAGCACCGAAACCTTTAGACACCGTGCCGGGGCATAATCAGAAGAGAAAGAACCTTAAACACATTTATACGGTTTCTGCGGCGGCCGCGTTGTCGCTGCTGCTGCTGCTGTCAGCGACTGTGCCGCCGCCAATGCGGCAAAAGGAGACTCTTGGAACCTCAGGGACTGCTAGGGCCCCCTTTGCTGTGCGGAATGTCAGAGAACAGAGTGCAGCACTACGCCAGCAACGCACATCGCCGCAGCGATGCCTTTGCGCACGCCTATGCACTGAGACTCCTGCAGCAGCAGCAAGGCAACATTTGGCGGACGTAGGTTTCTTTGCAACATAGAACCACACAACTGCCGCCAGTGCTAAACAAAATACCACTGAGCACAGCAGCAGCAGATGCATCGGCAGCGGATGCAGTAGCAGGTGCAGTGAAAGCATGTGTAGCAGTATGGTGCGCAGCAACAGCAGGCGCAGCAGCAAGTGCAGCAGAAGTTTCAGCAGCAGAAGCAACAACGAACCTGCACACTGCAGAAAAGGACGTGGCTTAGCACGACCACTGCCGCTGCTTTGCAGCCTTTAAGCGCCCCCGAAGTGACAGCGCCTGTTATTCAACACCGCAGTATAGGAGCGACAGCAGCAGCTCTACGCAGCAGCGGCAGTAGGAGCAGACGCACCAGCACGAGCTCCTACTGCTTCAGCAAGACCAGAATGTGAGGCAATTTTTTCTGCATTAACGGCAGAAAGTGCGTTAACAGCAGCAGCAAATGAAGCACCAGCAGCAGCAGCAAACGCAGCAGCAACCGCAGCAGCAGGCTAACCTAGCCGGGATATTATATACCACATTGTGGCCGAATGGAAGGCCCCACAAAGCAGCAGTAAAAAAAGAAGCAATGCGATGGTCCTTGCGTCTCCTCCTTGATCCCTAACTCGACTTAATATCAGCGCGTCTAGCTACAGGCACACACAGCTCGCCACAGCATGCCACAGCTAGCCGCAGCTAGCCAGCGCACGAGCCAACACGCCAAAGCACTAGACGCGCGATGCACATGAAAGAAAACATTCAGAGCTGCGGCAGAAGCACGGCTGGAGGCAGGGGCGGCAAGACTCTGGCTAGCTAGCTGACCAGCTCGCAAGCGAGCCAGATAGCCAGCTAGTTGGCTACCAGCAGCCTCGGCAGCAGCTAGCTAAGAGTCACACCTGGGGCAGCGTCCACACACAAGTCCACACCAACAGCAGCCCAGTGCTGATGGCCCTGTTGACGCACACAAAACCCGCAATAAGACTCTGCAACCGCAACAGCATAGGCAATTGCAGCGGCAGCAGCAACAGCAGCTCCAGCAGTAACAGCAACGGCAACATACCCCATCATAAAGACCAGGTTAAGGCCAGTGATGGGAGCGTCTTCGTCCTCCATAAAGCGTTCGTTCAGCACGAAGGTCAGGCCTTGCTGCGAAGCAACACTCAGCCGGTGGGCGCTAGCTGCGGCTGCTGCGGTCGCTGCTGCTGCTGCTGCTGTTGCATTTGCTGCATCCTTTACTGTATCTGCTGCTGTTGCTGCTGCTGCCATTGCTATGACTACCGCTGCTGCCACTACTTATGCTACTCCTTCTGCGAAACAACCTTACAAGTATTGCAGCAAGTAGTGACAAGATCATTCCAAGTGACTCCTGGCTGCTGAAGGTGAGTGACAAATTCGATGCCTGAAGTGCAGCACGAGCAGCAGCAGCAGCAGCAAAAGAAAAAGAACAGCAACAGAGGGAAATTGCAGCAACGGCTGCAACGCCCCAGGCAGCGAGCGTCTCTGGAACCCATGAAGCAACAAACAGGAAAGCACGCCAAGACCCGAATGGCACTGCAGCGAGCCTGCTGCAGCTGTTGCCGCTGTTTTTGTTGCTGTTGCTGCTGCCGCTCCTGCGGCTGCTGCGCTGCTGTCTACCTTAATGGAGACGCCCGCAACGATTAGGGAGAGGCTGAAGTATTTAAGAGGTGAGAATTTCCTGCAACCGCAACGTATAAGTGTCCCATCTTCCATTATTACGGTTGCTGCTGCTGCTGCTGCTGCTGCTGCGCTGCCTGCTGCTGTGTCTGTTACCGCTGCAGTACCTGCCTAGAATGAGGGCAGAGAGAACAGCAGTCCAAACAATGGAGGTGCTGCTGAGCAATATGTACACCCCAGAGCCGCACAGCACCAGGCCCGCTGCAGCAGAAGCAGCAGCAGCAGGGCAGCAAACAGCAGCACAAGGTGTTGCTTTTGCTGCACTTATAGCTTATTATGTGTTCACCCAGGCGCGAATAACCCAGTATGTTAGCTAGCTAGGAAGATACATGGCTAGCTAGCGACGGAGGTGGCTAGCCAGATAAGCGCCTCACCCTTCTCTAGCAGCTGGTGACTCAAATCTATCAAAGCCAGCCTGAAGGCTCGACGCCAAAGACGGGGGCTGCAGCAGCAGCAGCAGCAACGCCAGCAATTAGAGCAACAGATGAAGGCAAACGCAGCGACAGTGGAGGCAGCGGCACCAGGTAACACGCAGCAAAACAGCTGGGCAGCAGCAGCAGCAGCTCCAGCTGCAACAGCAGCAACAGCAGTCATTAGTTTTTGTAGCTGGGCCCTGGAATAGAAGCAGCAATAGCTGCAGCAGCCGCCACAGCTGCAGCAGCAGCAACGACTGACTTCCGTAACTGGGCCCTGGATTCGGGTCTCTTGGAATCAGCAGAAAGGGGAAGGCTGCCGGCGACGAGCATTCCGATGAAGTGCGGCAGTAGAAACAGGAAGGTGCTGGCCTGTACGTACACCTCAACCCAACACGCCAGTCACCAGCAGCAGCAGCAGCAACAGCAGCAGTAACAACAGCAGAAGCAGCAGCAGGTCCAGTCACAGCAGCAGCAGGAGCGAAGGAACCCAACTCACGCTTGCCACGCCCTGGTAACGGCAAAAGTCGACCTGCAAGCAGCAGAATACGCAGCACAGACGAGAGTAAATAGGCAGCTGCAGCAGGTGCAGCAGCAGCAGGTGCAGCACTGGCAGCAGCAACAGCAACGACCGCAAAGCAGGGGCTTACAAGGATTGGCTGTCCGCAATACCCAAAGAGAAAGACACAGAGGGCCCCGATGAGTTTGATCTTCTCAGATTTGCTGCTGTTGCTGTTGCTAGTCTTGCTCCTGCCGCCGCTACTGATGTCGAGGACTGCGTCGCAGCTAGGCTCTTGCTGGCACTTCTTCTTCAGCAGCGCTTGGCTGCTCTCCCCAGTGTGCTGCTGCTGCTGCTGCTCCTGCAGCAGGTGCTGTTTCCGCCCCATCGTGGCAGGGGGGAGGGACCTCGCCGTGTTTGGCGCTGGACGGCCTAGGCTGAGAGCCGGGTTTGATTTATTTGCTGCAGCAGCAGCGTATGCTGCTGCTACTGCAGCGGATGCTGCTGCTTCTGCAGCGGCCCCTGGAGGTACGGCTGCTGTCCAAGATTCTGGGGTGCAGCAGTTGAGTGATATTAGCCGCTGCTGCTGCTGTTGTTCCACCTGCTGCAGCTTGCGTGATCGCCAGATGTTGCTGTTCCCCCGGCAATAGTAGAAGCTGCTGCAAGCAATGTCGATATTAGTGTTCTTCTGCAGCGGAAGCAGCAGCAGGCGCTCCTCTGCTGCTGAGCTCTGCTGCTCTGGGTGACTAGCAGCAGCAGGACTGACCTGACAGAGCAGGAGCGGTCGACCGATCAGGAGCGGCCGCAGCCGCAGCAGCAGCAGCAGCACCAGCAGCAGCTTGTGGGATCGTCCTCTGTCTCGCCTGGGATCGTCTCCGTGTCTGTGTGAGTCTGCAGAGAGTTAGGGGAACCCACAAGGCCTGCTGCGAATCTCAGTTGCTAGGGCGTCCTGTGGAGCCAGGGCGCAGCAGCTTGGGGGCCCTGTCTCGGGCGCCGCCCAGCGTATCGAGCCGCCTGCGGCAGCGGCCCCCCCCGCCGCCGCAGCAGCAGCAGCAGCTGCTGCTGCTGCTGCCGCGATGGGGGGCGTCTTTAGGGGAAAAAATGCGTGGGCGAAAGTTGGTTAGTTAATTTGATCTTCCTTAATTTACTTTCTGTTCTAGTGCCCCCAGCAGCAGCAGCAGCGCAAGCAGCAGCGGCAGCACAAGCAGCACCAGCAGAGACTCTGCTGAAACGCCCCAGGGGCAAGAGGCCCCCACGGTGTCGTAAGAGGGCCCCCCAACAACAGCATAAATTCACACCGCGATTCTACCATTAGTTTCTTCGTAATACTTTAGCTGCTTGTTTGCTTTGCTTCGGGGCTTTTGTTGTATCTGCTGCTGCTGCCGCTCTTGCTACACAGCTTGTTACTACGCAGCTGCTGCGGCCCTGCCTCCACGGCAGCCTGTACGTACGGCAGCAGCAGCTGCTGCTGCAGCAGCAGCACCAGCAGCAACAGCAGCACAACTGTAAATAGGTTTTTATGCAGCTCCGGCTTCTTCATTACAACACTTGTGTCTGCAGCGGCTCTCTTGTTGCTGCTGCCTCTGGCACTGGGGCCCCCAGTTAAAACCCCACTGCAGCAACGGCAACGGCAATAGCAGCAGCAGCAATAGCAGCAGCAGCAGCAGCTGAGCTGATAGATAAATCCCGTATTCTTCTGTACACACAGGTTCCTGACTCGTAACAGCAAAAAAACACCCACTGCTTCTCCACCAGGAGCGGCAGCAGCAGCAGCAGCAGCGAATTGTGCAGGGACTGCCAGCCACAGCCAGCCGTTGTCGCAGGCGCTGCTGCTGCAGTCGGGTCTCTCCCTTACATTTGTTGCGTTATTAAATCTGCGTGACAGCAGAATCGGCGGAGTCTGCAGTAGCGGAAGCAGCAGCAGCAGCAGCGGCAGACGTCAACAGCAGCAACAGCTAGTCAAGGCCGCCGGTCGGTCTCTTTGTCCACCTTGTTTGCTTCACACATTTCTCCTAGAGTGTACTGCAATCAAAGCAGGAGCAGCAGCAGGATTGCCAGCATAAGCACCAGCACCGGAGCTGGTCTAGGCAGCAGCAGCAGCAGCGGCAGTAGCACACGCAGCAGCAGGAGCCGGTCACCTCCGCGCTTGTCACAATGGGGAAGGTGCGTATAGCAGGCTGACAGCGACGGAAGCAGATACGTTTCAAGCGGCGGCCTCTTGCTGCTGCTGCTGCAGCAGCTGCTGCTGCCGCTGCCTGTGCTGCTGCCGAGTCAGTATGTGGAGCAGCTTGTGCTTCTCTTGCGCGTTCCTTCAGCCGTCTGCGTGTTTTCGTTAATTAATTGACTCAAACTGATTATTAGTGTATTATTTTTACCTTTTGCTGCCGCTTATTTCCTCTTTATTTGCGCCGCAGGACTACTACAGAATCCTGGGGGTTCCCAGAGAGGCCACCGAGGCTGACCTCAAGAAGGCGTACAGGAAGTTGGCCATGAAGTGGCACCCAGACAAGCACGCGGACCCTGAAGCCAAAAAGAAGGTCCGTAAATCCTGAACCCTAGACCCTAAACCATAACAAGAACATGGGTGTGGGGCCTGCTGCCCGCTTTTCTCTTCGTGTCTTTCTTCTCTGCTGTTTGATTCCGCTGTTTCCTTAGTTGCCTCGTTTGTGTCCGTTCGATTTCTCGGCCCTTTGCTCACCCCTCTGGTTCAAAAACCCTAAACCCTAAACCCTCGCTTTCTGTGCAGGCTGAAGCTCAATTCAAAGACATTGCGGAAGCCTACGATGTGCTGAGTGACAAAGAAAGGAGACAGGCGAGCACAAGACCCGGCCCCCGGAGCCCTGAGTGCACGTCCTTAACCCGAAGGGCTAAGTGTTTAAGGTTTAGAGTCTGGGGTTCAGGGTTTGGAGCCTGCTTGTACAGATATACGACAAATTCGGAGAAGAGGGCCTCAAGGGGGGAGCCGGGGCCCCCAGCGGCAGCCCCGGCGGTGCAAATGTCTTCTGTGAGTTGAAGCCGCTAGCCGCAGCCAGAGGGAACTCCAGACCCTAAACCCTAGACTTTACGCCCCATGCGGAGGTGCCCTTGAGTCGAAGTTACAAGCAGCCTTAGCTGTAGACGAAGTCTTTTATCGCCCTGCAGTAATGCAGAAATATTATTTTCAGCGAGGGGCCACAAGGGACGCGTAGGGTCTAGGGTTTAGGGTTTCGGGTTCAGGGTTTAGGGTTGGTGCGCACCAGACAGGGAAGTGGACCCCAGCGAGATATTTTCGCGCTTCTTTGGGACCGACAGGATGAGTGGAGACTCGGAAGACCCCTTCTCACATCCTGTGAGGGTTTAGGGTTTATGGTTTGGTCCCCAGGGCTTTGATTTCAGGGTCTCACTTGTAGGTGCACTGGAGAAGTGGAACCTAGGGCTTAGGGTTGATTCTTAGGGTTTAGGGTTAAAGGTTTAGGGTTCCTGTTGTCTTCAGATCTTTGGTATGGCCGGCGCGGGTGGTCCCTTTGGCATGCGGTTCAGCACTTCTGGAGGCAGACGTAAGGCTGCTGCTGCTGCTGCTTGTGCTGCTGCGGCCGCTTGTGCTGCTGCTGCTGCTTTGCTGATGTGACCAGTGAAGGGATGGCTTTTGTGTTCGCTACTGCTGCAGGGTGTGGTAGCATGCAGGGAATGAGCAGCAGCAGCAAACCCCGATCCTACGAGAGGGACTTGGTCTGCACCTTGGAGGAGCTGTACACGTATGCCACACCATACGAAGCAGGGTTTAGGGCATAGGTTTCAGGGTCTAGAGTTTTGGATTCAGGGTTTAGTGCATAGGGCTTTGGATTTGGGCTCGACGCGGTGTCTGAACACCTAGCTGCCGCTGTTGTGCTGCCCCTGTGCTGCAGCGGAACCACAAAGAAGATGAAGATTGGCAGAACGCGGTTCGTGCAGTTCCCCAACTAGGGTTTAGGGCTTAGGGTTTAGCGCTTAGCCTTCAGGATTTTAGATTGCTGGAGGCCGCAATTAGTTTGGAGCACAGGACGTAGGGCTCAGGGTTTGACGTGTTGGTTTGGTGCAGCTTCCATAACGGCCGTCCGGTTAAGGAAGACAACGTTGTAACTGTCGACGTCAAGGCGGTGAGCTTCCCGTTAGGGGCCAGGGGTGTAGGGTTCGAAGTGGGAGTTTTAGGATTTAGGGGTTTGGTCTCAGTGTTGAGGATATTCGGGCTAAGGGTTTAGGGTTTAGGCTTTAGGAGTAAGCCGTCGCGTGCTGTGTACTGTTTGGCTGATGTGCTTTTGCAGGGGTGGAAGGAGGGCACCAAGTCAGCTGCTTCTTCTGCTGCTGTAGCTGCCATTTCTGCGGCTGCTGCTGTCGCTGCTGCTAAGCCCGCCGTTTGAATGGTTTTATTCTATGCAGGATCACTTTCAGCGGCGAAGGAGGCCAAGAAACCCCCAACGGGCCCCCGGGGGACCTTATATTGTAGGTTGTGTTTGGTGCTGCTGTTGCTGCTGCTGCTGGTGCTGCTGCTTCATTGTGGCTCTTTCGAGCTCACAAGATTTATCACCAACACCATAATTGCAGCACCGGAGAGCGATCAACACAATCACAGTCAGCTGCAGCAGTAACAGCTGCAGCAGTGGCAGCTGCAGCAGTAACAGCAGCAGCAGCAGCAGCAGCAGCAGCAGCAGCAGCGGATGCGCGTGCGTGTGCGCTGCGCAGCGTTGTGAAGTGCAAGCCGCACTCACGTTTCACGCGGGACGGGAGCCACTTGATTTACAAAGTGCCGGTGCCGCTGCTGAAGGCCCTTGTCGGCTTCACAGTACCTGTCACCACCCTCGACAACAGAACGCTCCACGTCAAGGTTGACCAAGTCGTCAACCCCAAGTACAGGAAGGTTGTCCCCGGAGAAGGTCCGCGCCTGTTGCTGCTACTGCTGTTGGTGGAGTTGTTGCTGCGGTTGCTGCTGCTGGTGTTGTTGCTGTAGGCGCTGCCGCTGCTGTTGCTGCTGCTGTTGGCTCTGCTGCTGCGGTGGTTGTGGGGATGGGGGCGCTGTTGTGGCGGGGGTGCAGCCTTAGCCCTGCTTCTGGTGTGCTGCTGCTGCTATTGTTGCTGTGCTGCTGCTGCTGTTGCCAGTGGCCTGTCATCACTTTTCTTGCTGCTGCGACTGCGGGTGAGCGTTCCGGCATATGCCGCCAACAGTGACTCTCTGCTTCATAGGCTGCGGGTGCTGCTGTTGCTGCTGCTGCAGGCATGCCGATTAGCAAGAAGCCAGGGGAGAAGGGAGACTTGATCATAGAGTTCGACATAATCTTCCCACGGTGGGCTGCTGCTGCTGTTGCTGCTGGAGCCGTTGCTGGGGCTGCTTCTTGCTGTGCAGTGTTTGCTGTGGGTGGTGCTGCGGCGTCTAGCAGACGTGGGTCGCGCTGCTGCTGCTGCTGCGGCTTCAGGACTCTGTCGGACGACCAGAAGACAAAGCTGAAGGAAATATTGGCGAACTCGTAGGTGCATTCGCTGCTGCTGCTGCAGCAGCAGACGGCGGGCAGTAGCGGCAGCCCAAGCAGGAGGGAGGTGCACAATCCCAACGGGCCGTGTCGTCACACTTCGCGCCAGGAATCTACGGGGCTTGTGGCTGCTTCCGCTGCAGCCCCTGCTGTGCGGGGCTTATAGCTGCTGCTGCTGCAGCCCAACCTGCTGCAGCCCCAGCTGCTGCAGTCCCTGTTACCGCAGCCCCTGCTGCTGCTGCTGCGAATACGGAGGCTTCAGCAGCGTCAACCGCGCCGTGTGCCGGGCCCACTCGGCAGCGGGCGCCCACAAGGGGATGTAGCGGCCCTCTGGTTTTGGAGGCTTTGTGGTACTGGGCTGCAGTGGCTGCCCACCTTAACTCTGTGCAGAGTTGAAGTAAATGGCAGCAGATTGGCTAGGGAGTTGCTGCCGCTGGTCGGAGCCTGAGGCTTGACAAGACTCATGAGTTAGCTGTTTGGCGGTCTGGCTAGCCGCCTAGGCAATTAAGTAGCGAGCCATCATGGCCTGGCCGTTAGTGGAGGAGAACATGCAGAAGCAACCTCTCCTAAGCTCCCTGCCCCTGTAAACGAGAGGCGCCCAACCTCTCTAGCTACCAAGAGCTATCTGGCTAGCTCCCTAGCTATCTACCAGCTACCTGCGCTCAGCGTGCACGAGCAGCTGCGAATGTAAGGTACGCAGCCGCATGCAGGAATAGCTAGAGGTGGTAGTTGGAAGCGACAGCGCCGCCCTAAGGGCAGCAGGCAGCTCACACAGACCTATTTGAGAGCTGGTTAAAAGCATTGGGGCTGCCCAGGGCCCCTGAGCCCCTGGGGCGGAGTGGGGGACCTTGTGAAGGCCCCCAGCAAAACAAAGATCCTCAGGGTAGCGAGCGACGGGCCCCTATAGGAGCCCCTAACAGCCTCTGCTGCAGGCGGGCCCCCTACGACCCGGGGACCCTTCTGCAAGGGCCCCCCAGCGGCTGCTGCGGCAGGGGCTCCGCTGGGAGGACACTGCCAGGGACTTTTTCCCCGTCAAGGCCCAGCCTGCTGCGGGCCCCCAAGAGGCTGCAGCAGCAACAGATACGGCAGCAGCAACACAAACAGCAGCAGCAATAGCAGCAGAATTATCGGCGTGCCCATTGTCCGTCCAGCTAGGTGAACGCAGTACAGAGAGAAGCCTAGTCTGCTTGCACATACATGTACTTACATATGTATAAATACAAAGTCGTAAAGCTGATAGATCATATATGCGGCATGCAGTCTATTTAATCATAGTTATTATATACAGTAGATAAACAGCATATATATTTTGTACTGCACTGCCGGCTCTTGTGCTTTTTTATTTTGGTGTAGCAAGTAAGCCGGCGAAAAATTATCGCGGCCCCTCACCTGGGTCTCCCTAGGAGCCCTCGGTGCGTTTGTGTTTGCTGCTGCTGCTGCTGCTGTTGTTGTTGCTGTTGCTGCTGTTGGCCTCCCTCAAGCAGCAAGGGAAGTGTCTGGGAGAGCCCCGAGGTAGGCGCTGGGATGCCTGTAACCGGGGTGCCGGGGCGAAGCTTAAGGGAGTGCATGGTGAAGGGTCCCTCCGCATGTGGGGGCCCCCCTGTGGGGGCCCCTAAGTCTCTGGCGGCGGGCGCCCCAAGGGGCTCCAGGGCACATCCAACCTGCAGAGAGGGGCCCCCCTCGCTGCGGGCAGTCCCCAAGACACTCCTTGTGCTCTGTGCCTCCACAGCTTCCCACTGCGGCGCTGCTGCTCCTGCGCTTAAGCGTGAGGCCTTGGGGGCCCCTCGCTGGTCCTGCGGGCCTGCGGGCACCCGCAGAGCGCCGTGGGTACTCACAGCAGGAGTCAGCATGTAGCGGGAGACGTCGGAGGCCCCCTTGGGTACGGACACCCCAGGGGCCCCCGAGAGAGCCTCTAGGGCGACGGCCTCCTCGGCTTCTTCAATTAGCTGCTGCAGAGACCCCAAAGGCGCGCTGCGTGCAGCAGCAGCAGCAGCAGCAGCAGTAGCAGCCGCAATAGCGGCGGGGAGCACTGCCTGTGTTGCTGCCTTCGCCGTTGCTACAGCTGCCTCGCACACTGAAGCTGCTGGAGTTGCTGGTGCGGGTGTTGCTGCTACTGCAGCAGCAGCTGCTGCTGCTGTCTGCACGAGGGCTCCCCCTGACCACCTGTAGGTAACAGCCTCTCCTGCAGGGGACCCCTGAGGAACAAGAGAGGGGACGCCCTCAGGCTGTGGGCTGCTCCGGCCCGCCGTCTGAGCTCTCGCTGCCTCTCCACCTGCGGCGCACTGGGCAGTGCACGCTGCCATTGGTAAGCAGTGCAGGCTTGCGGGGCCTCGGGGG